CCCTTTTCCCCTTTCGCGGTAAAAATTTTTAAAATTTAAAGAAAAATTTTTTTTTTGGGGGGGTTTGGGGGGGTTTCCTTCCGGAAAAATTTGTATTTGGAAAAAACCCTGTTACCGGTGGTTAACTTTTTTTTTGGAGGCTCCGGGTTCCATAGATGGGGGAGAAGGGGGGGTTTTTTTTTTTCGGGGGGGGAAAAAAAATTAAAATTTTTTCGGATTTTTTTCCCCCTTTTTTTTTTAAAAAAAGGTGGCCAACAGAAAGGGGAAAAGCCCCCCCTTCCTGGAAATTCCCTGGGGGCCATTCCATTTTTGGGGGCCTTTCCAAAAAGGGGGGGGGGCCCCATGCCCCCAAACCCGGATTTTTTTGGGGCCCCCCCCCCCCCCCCCCCCGCGCGCGCTTGAAGGGCCTAGGAGAATATTGGACGGCAGCACACAAGAAGGGTCCAGTCTCAAATTTTGGAGAATTTCACCTTCAGAAGGGGAAGACACTAAACCATTGCGGTAGTGCTATCATTGCAGCCGCCCTTTATTTGGTTTGCTCTCTGTCAGACTTAGTCAGCTCCACTAGGCTCGTCACAATTGTTGGTGTACTACAGTATAAGGGCGTGTTTGTTCTGCGGAATGGAGCATCTCCCTCCACGAACTGTCATTTTTGTGGATGGAGGCAGTGTATTCTGCGTGTTGTGCGTGTTGAGCTGTTGACGGTTCTGATGGATCGAACGCCTCAACATTGATATTCACGTGTAGCTAGTCTAGATTGTTTTTGAAAACATTTATGGGGCTATAGGTTAGGGAGGCAGAGATACTACTGGTAAACTTGACAGAGGGAGAGTGCCTTCCCAAATGACGTCAACCACTACTACTATGCATACGCATTGGATGATTGATAGATTTGGAGACAATAACAAGAATTCAACAACACACAAACCAACACCGACAGCAACAGTGCAACATTGCTTTTTCGGCATGTTTTTAGCCGGGAGTACGTGCGAGAAACCTGCTGCATACACACAGTGTTTTTCGACGTCCTCGATCTAGAATACGTTCCCAAGAGATAAAACTACAGGAGACTTGGGAAGACAGACAAAGACCAACAAGGTCGCTATTTTCTTTTTCGTTGAACATGTTGCATATGCTATATTGATGTGGCGAGAACGGTAAGGTGGCATCCTCAGGTGTCGAAGTTTCATAGGAATCGACGCCGTCGGAGTACGGAAGCGTCAATACTGCTCTAGTCGCCATGTTGTCCTTTTTCGCCTACTGTACGTAAGATACCACACCCCCTGGCCAGAGGACCAAACCTCCATTATTCTGCGGCACATACACAGTGACAGTGCCGAAGAGTACCAGCGTTGGAACCATCTCATCGAGAGCCTTCCGAAAAACCATAACTTGGTTTTGGAATGCCCTTCATCGCGGAGTAGTCAAGCTTTGAACAACGGCCACGGGGGTGTGGTATCTTACGCAACCAATGGCATTCATGCAAGAAGTAGCACCCCCCCCCCCCCTGCTATTGGCCAGCCAATCCCCTTGCTCCTTGGCAATTACCCCGCTCGCTAAGGACGACTTGGCCTTGTTGGGGGCAAAACGAGCTACACAACAAGTACGCTACTCGAAGAAATATAAAGAGAACGTGACGGCCCATACTTGGCACGCGTGGGCAGGCTTCCTCGCGAGAGTGGAACGGAGGCGGCCGGGCCTGGCCTCAAAACTTCAAACACTCAAACACCGACATTAGTAGACACGTTGTAGTTTTTTTTTTGGTCCCACCCGAGGGAGTATTGTAGCTCCTCGCCCCCTCTCCACGACGCCTCCGCTTGGTGGTGTGGTTTGGCAAGGGGGAAACGAGAGCTCTACGCACGCGACGGGCTTTAAGCGGAGGCGGGCAGCAGCTCCTCTGTTGATCACTGTCGTCATCAGCACCCCCTTTGCTTAGCCCGATCCTCGGCAGGGATCTGACCTACCATCGGAAGGTTGAAGTGGCGGAGCGGCAAATAGAGCTACGAGGTCATTTAGAGCTAGCTGCCGTCGTGCTTGCTACTTTTTTTCTTCAAACAGCACAGCAGGGAGGCGGAGCAGAGCGAGTACTCTCTCTCGCCCACGGAGCCTTGAAAGCTAGCCGAGGCGACGATGTCATCTCGGCATGGATTCCTGGGTACCAGCAGCAACAGCAGCAGCAGCGGGAGCAACAGCAGCGGCGGGAGGAGGCGGCGCGCTGGCACAACCACTTTGGTGACAGCAGTGTTCGAAGCCGAGACCGGAAAGCAACTAGACGTCGAGCTCTCGGAAAGCGGGCATGACGGGGGGGGTGCCACAGAGGCCCTCCGCAGAAGGCTCTACAGGTGCGCGTGTTACGGCAGCAGTAGCTCTGGCTGCGTGCTCTGTGTTTTCGAGTAGAGGGAGCTCTCAACTGCTGCCAACGGGCACAAGTCCAGGAACGGTGCTTGCTTGGAAAGAGTCGTTTTGACAAGAAACCCCACTCCTTCATTAGAATGATGATATTTTTTTTGGCAGCAGCAGGCACGTGGCGGATGCTCCTGCTGACTGTGGCAGCATGTTGTGTAGAGGGGGCTGGAACCGTCGCAGATCATTTCCGGGCGAGCGATGGGCATAGTCCGGGGAGGAGCCCTTGAGTGTACGTTGTCTACGAGCTGCCGGCTTGAATTCTTACGCCAAGCTCGAGTAGCACCGCTGCTGCTGTTCCTCGTGGCTCTCCCCTACTCCCATCTCCCATATCCAGCTGCCAATATCGTCCAGCGCGTGTGTGTGTTGCCGTTGACATGGTTGCGCGTTTTGAAACCAAAGGTGTAGACTAAGGGTGCGGAAGGAGTTCATACACAGCGTGGACATTCGGGCGGGGTAGGGTCTCGAGGTGTTTCGCTGTTTGCCTCGCTATCACATATTACAAGAGCAACATGACTGTTTTTTTTTATCATGCATACAAACGTTAACGTTTACCTAGTGAGCGTGTCTCTCCCCTGAGCGATGATTGGATTTATCAAAAGACAGCAATACACCCCGAGATGGCGGTTACCGTTATAAAAGTAATCCTGCCACAACAGCTGTGCATGATGTAGCCTGCAGGGCTGCTCTGCTTCACAGCGTCTGGACAATACCGCTAGTGTGTAAATACGTGACAGAGCGAGAGAGAGAAGACGTTAGGCTATAATAGCGTCTCGGCCGGCCCTGTAACAGCTTTGGCGAACACGCCGTCCATGCGGAGAGTTACGCGTTCGCTTTGGCTTTTAAGCAGGATGCGATGGAAGAACGCTAATGCTTCAGAGTCTGCAACTGCGGTAGCGCTACTATCGAAGCCGTGGTGGATCCTTGGATCCTGAATCGGTTATTTTTTGTTGGACTTGCAACTTGCAACCAACGTCGACGAGCGGAGGGATTGGGTTCAAAGATTCAAGCTGTAGCCGGCGGGTGGAACGGCGTGATGAAGACCAGATATGTCCCGTTCGAAAAAAAAAAGCCGCCTCCTGCTGTGACCAGGCACCCTACAGGGGTCATCTACGGTATCTATCTCCCGGATGAGAGGCTGTCTGTATGACTGGGCATGGAGCGCCGCTGTAGCTCACAAGGCGCACAATTTGGTATCTATGCACAAGCGACCAGCAGTAACGTACACGCACACACAGTAGTTTGTTTTCCCGCTGTACGACTGGCGTCTGTTCATTGGTCAGCCAGCTAAGCGCGTCGATGCTACTGTAACTCAACAGACACACACAATGTCTTCCCCGTCCTCTTCCTCCGCATCGTGTATACCCTTACGGTACGGGAGAGACGGTGCTCGACTCTTGCATATTTTCATTTTATGCTTACAGCGATGAAGAACAACTGCCAACATCCCTGTTGACATGTCCTGCCAAGCGTTCAGACAGACACCGCAATCGTTGTAGCACCGCTCCTTTTGGCCTCGGAATCGGGCCCTGAATCGCAGAGAAAGTCCCACACACTCCACCCCCTGGGCGGAAGGAGCTCTCCGTCCGTCTTGGTGGCGTTCAGCACGAAACCAAGCGTCTGTGAAGTTGGGGCTATTAGCCGCGGGCACCTAGTTGTACGCCTCGACCTTATTCTGTTCTCGCGTATCGCATTTCGTTCTTATATACGTGGTTGTACATAAATTTGCTGGTGTTATGGACCCTCCGCCACCGTTTTGTCGTGATGGGAATGATAACGTCAGCAGTTCTCTCCCCCCTACCTTCACAGGTTACATTACCCACCCTCTCGACGAAATCGCTACCCTAGTCAGAAGCAAGATGATGCTACCTATCGCACGAGGTTGTTTCCGTATGCTATGTACGTACATGGGGCGAATAGCGTTCATGTCTTCCCTAGTTTCCGTGAGCATCAGCCTTGCACCCAGGTTGAGGATGTAACCGTCATGCGTGTGACGCGAATGTTCGTTTCGTGTTTGGGCGGAAGTTGTCTTGTTGGATGGTGATGCAGATGGAGTGTACGATCAAGACGTGTATCAGCACGGTTTTGTCATCCCCGCCCATGCTCACCGTGTTTTTGTGCTCCGTATGATAGGACTGTTCGGTCGATTTGTATGTTATATTCTGCGAAAACTGAAGCAACCTTAACATACCCCACCCTACCCCAGTAGCGCCCGTTTTTTCGCCCTGGTGTGTTCAACCATCGCCCAGCCGCAATTTCGTTCTACAATACATGCTGACCCCTGCGTGTTATTTCACAAACCGCTTTGCTTCACCTGACACCGCTGACACCTACAATCCCCCCCCCCCTCCCCTCCCGACAGCTTGACAGGGGTACCTGCAGAAAACCAGATTATACTCTGCGGAGGCCCCCCCTACAAGCCGCTCCGCTCCCAGCTTCCCCCGGCGAGCATTACCGTTGCAGGGCCGAGCACCGCCCCCACCGGTAGCGCTAGCTCTCGCATTGGGTCATCGTCTTCGAGTGCGAGTTCGACGACCACGATCGCTACCAAGATTTTTCTTTTCGACTGGCGTACCCTAGCCCCTGAGCAGCAGGAGCAGCAGCAGCAGCGGCATCGCCGCTCTTCATCCAACTCCCAAATTATCGGTACCCCCGACAGCTCGCTTACCCCCAGCGGCAGCAGCGTCGGTGGGGCCGGTGTCGCGGACCAGCCCTTGGTATCGTCGTCAGCTGCGCCTGGCGTCACTGGTGTTGACGCAGCTGGAGCAGCGGCAGCGGAGTCGTTGGTGATGGAAGAAGCGGCGGAATTCGTGGGTCCTGCGGAGGTTACCCTGCCCACGGAACCGGGCGCGTCGCCGTCTCCGCTGCCGCCTGTAGAGGGATCCTATCTGCTCAAGGTCAGTCTGCCACTCGCCGACTCTAGAGAGACTTGTGGCCTTTTTTTGTTCAGTTTTGTCGCTTTAGGTGTTGGCGAGGTACGTTTCCGTGTGTTGGGGGGTTGCCCACCTGTTGTCGGAACGCTCCGGTTTTGTTCGGTATGCTTCGGCGCCTACCTGACCTCTTGGGAGGAACGACGGGAATGAAATGGGCGGCATATTGCCGAGGGGTCCAGCAGGTTGTACCTCCCCCACTCCAATCTTGGGTACTTCCTTCCTGGGTAGATTTGATTTGGTATGCTATGCGATGAACTAGAAGAGAAACGTGGGTTAGGATTAGGGTTAAACGGCGGACGATCTTCTCCTCCCAATCCCTGATGTGCGCTGTCCATGACACTCATTTTTGGCGCCGGTTCACAGGATCGATGTTGTGTTTCGTTTTTGCGGCTCCCTCCCGCCAGACTGCCAGAAGACTCAACCTCGATCAAAGGCGGGATATTTGCGATAGAGTACCCACGCCAACTATGCGTACTGGAAGGCTGAGTGCGTGTACTTGGTTGACATGGGGATCAACTGGATCGGACCCCAGCCACCTCGCCCGTCTTGCAGCTCTTGTGGCCCGGTCTCTAGACCAATCACAATCGTTCCGCACTAGTGTCCTCGAGCTTCGGCTCCTCTCCATCACCTCTTGTGATGTACCATCAACTACGGCTCTGACCTTACGCCATCACTCCCCTTTCCGTTTTTCTCCGTCCCGGTGCATACCGTGTTTCATTTGTCATCGCGCTTTGCTGGGTTAAATGGTAAAAACCGCAGACGATTGCCGGGTACGAGAGGGGCTCGATGCTGACCTTGAACAGAGGGCAAGCGTACCTCGAGTCGTCCCGACGGAGATTGGCGGGAGGGGAGACGTGCGCGGAGAGGATGCAGACTATGGTGGGGTTCCGTGGGTTGAAAGTGACGGGTGGGGGGGGGGCGTCTACTGTGTGGGTTGTGTATTGCGTCTCCCAGGGGTAGTGAGTTAGCTGTGCTTCTCCCGAGAGGTTTGTGTGGCTTGCGTATTTGTGCGAGCATGAGTTGCCACTGCTATGGAGGAAGAGCATGTTTGTGTACAGTTGTAGGTTGTCTGAAAAGCGGCCCATGGACCGCCATGTTGTGCCTTCCAGGTGATCGGCATTCATGCCGGATGGAAAAGCTGTGGGCTTGATCGTACAGCTGGTGTTTGTGTTGTGTTCTATTACCCTGCCCCGAGGACCTGTCTTCCTGTTGCCTCCGCCATTTTCGTGGCATTGGGGAGTCTGTTGCGTTTTCTCATCATTTTATAACTGGTCACTCAGGTACAGCAGTACATGTGTGCGTCAGAAGCGGTTAGCGTCTATGTATCCTTGTCAGTGCTGCGGCGCTGGGGAAACATCACAGGCCTAATACGTCTGTCTGAATGAGACGGCGTATTTTGGTAAGCCATTTTATTGTATAACATCAGGGCTTTTTCACAGCCTGTACTGCTACGTCGGATCGGATCTCGGTCTCGCCAAGTCTTGCAATCGTCACTACACCTTGCCGGTATGTGGTTTGTCGAGGTTGTTGACGGTGGTTTTCTTTGTCCGAATCAATCAGGTCAAAGCTCTAGATGCGGCTGTGTCCAACTCCCTGGACCACTGGGATCCTCTGCAGCGAGCGTACAGCGGCCTTAAGGAGAAGCTTGGAGAGCAGGCGCTGAGGCACGAGAAGATGCTCGAGGTGACTATTAATAACTAACCCTGACCGAATACGCTGGTACACGACAGAAGGTCTGCCTAGCGCGTGCTCATGTGAATTCCTATCACAGGGGGGGTGCGTGTTTTTCAGCGTGATGCTTGTCATGGTTGGTCCTGCGTTCGAAGGCTGTAGTGTATGTCCTTGGTGCGGATGTTCGTTGGTCAGCCGACCGATGTCAGTTAAAACAACACACACGCACGCAGAAGCACACAAGCACACGTTTCGACTCGGTTCTCTCTTTTGTGTCATGCCTTTCATTTTTCTTTCGTGTCCCTGACGTCCTCTTGTTGTGCTGTTGTGAACATGTGATTGCCAACGGATGCCTCAAGAGTGTGGCTGCTTTGTGCTGGTGGTACTGTGTGCAGATGTGTAGTGTTGTCGGTGAATGTCCACCGCACTGGTGTGGCTTATCTCTGTCGATTTGTTTTGAATGAAATTCGGCAAGGCATGCCCTCTGACACCGTCTGTCTTCCTTCCTTCCGTGTATCCCCATCACCATCTTCATCGCCACCAAACATTGACGACCCGCTTTGTTGTTGTTGCTGTTGCCGCCGGCCCTTCCCAGATTTCGATAGGTCTACGGTTCCCGCTTGACCCACCTTTAACTCCAACCACCTCTTGTTTTTCCTACCTGCATCTCGTCCCTTGTTGTTGTTGTTGCTCAACTACCTTGGACCATCAACCGCCTCTTTTTCTCCTACCTGCATCTCGTCTGTTATTACTGATGCTGCTCTTGTGTGCTGATGGAAAACAGACGTTTGACCAAGACGTTGCCACGCTCGGGACAATACCCTTGCACCCGGCTCTCGCCGCCGCCTCAGCAACAACAACAACCACCGGCGGCGGCGGTGGCCGGCAGAGCCGGGCCCCTTCACTATCCTCCTCGACCGCTTCATCCTCTTCGCGGCTGGGCAGCGGCCGCATCGATTATTCCATCTCAGAAGAGCCTCCTTTAGACCCCACGGCAGGGGGTGGTTTGATGCGCGGGGGGAGATTACCGTCAGTACAGCAAGGGGAGGAGGAGGAGGAGGAGGTTAGCGGGGGTGGGAGCGGCGGCAAGACGTTGCTGGACTGCATCCCGGTGGAGAGGGAGCAGAGGCTGCTGGAGTCGTGCCGCACCAGCCAGAGGAGGTTTCAGCAGGAGGCGGAGAACGTGGCGCAGAAGTACGCCGCCATTGAGAATGTGAGCGAGCGAGCATACGCACACCCACCCTTGTGTTGTTGTTTCTCATCACTGTTCTTCAACCGGACGCTCCTTCCCTCCAAGAAATTGATTAAGCTTGACTACGTCTACCAACGATTGAGTGCCATCGCCGCTATGACGGTGGATGGCAGTACAGTGCATGGCGTCCGCGGGATGCAGCCGCTGTTGGTTCAGCTCGTCTGTGGTAATCCACCAACATTCCACTTCAAACCCCGTTTCTAAGCGTATATGTGCGTGGGTTGAAGCCGTTCCGTACTTGTCTGTGGGCATTTTTATTGTTGTTGCACCTCTGTCCCCTCAAGCCTTCGGCACTGATACACAATAACGGCGTCTGAACACCAGCGATGTTGTTGATGTCGGCGGCGTAGTTCTTGTCCGGGCGAAAAGCGAGTCCCATCCTGACCTCTGTATGTATTATTTTCGGATTCGCTGAAGGAAAGTGAACTAATTGCCGCGGCCGTGTACATTGTAGCAAGGCCCATGTTGGCAGAAAAGAAACGGAGAAAAAAGGCCACCTTTCCCGATGAAAGCACGTCGGCGGAACACATGACTCCAGCAACAAAAAAGTGTCCCGTGAGACACGCTTTTGCTTGCGACGACTGTTCATTCTACCCCAGCAACAAAATGTTACTGAACGATCAATGCTACATGGCTGGGTGTGCCCCTCCCCATGCACGAAAGATTTGTGCCGACACGTTTTCACGTATGCGGCGCCTCCCCCCCC